AATAAATAATTTTGTTGATTTACTTTTTCTACTTTTTCTACTTTTCTTACTTTATTTACTTCTAATCCTACAGTGTCTATTGAATCAAAAGTAACTATTAAAAAATCTGAGTCATAGCCCTTCAGTACTACATTCACTGTTAGGCCTCTACAAAATCCTAGAGTACATAGTCAGAGTCTGAGAGTTCTGAGGTGACTTCTGGATTTGTAGAAAAGGCTTCTTACTACAAATCCTACTTATTACTCATTATTACTCTAATGACCTGACAGATATACTGTTGCTTCTATAGACAGTCCTTAATTTGGTGCCCTGACTTTAAGAAGACCGACACAAGAAGCCAGGAGGACGAGCAGGCCAACTTTGCGGTTCGTTACCGTAATCGAGGTGTGGAATGATCTCTTGATCGTACGCATTTTCCTCTGGATGCTGTCGAGATGAACGATAAAAATACGAGACCTCTAGGCTTGATTAGATGTGGTCGTGACGTTCAAGGCTGCATGGAGCCGCTTCTTGTGGTCACATCCATACAAACTATCTAGCGCTGTCTGTCTCCTCATTACGCTGGGGAGTTGAAAACCGTGATACGGGGAGTGACGGAGGAAGAGACGGAGGGCTGGGAGCCCTTGACCTTCTTCTGTCAGCAGGGCTAAAAGGACCAGAAGCAGCAGCATCGATCTCGTCCTCGTTCTCTTCCTCATCCTGGATGTCCATCAACTCATCCGGCGGTGCCATTTCCTCTATCATTCCCGGAAGAACAATCACAAGGGACCTTTCAAAGGTCTCGACATCCACGGACTGTGCTCGTGGAGTCCGTATTGGTGTTGAACCGACCGACTCGCTTTTATCCGTGCTGTATTCGGAATGCTCATTCGATAACTCCGGCGTACTCCGGTTACTATCGAACTTGAACGTGTCCGCGTCCGTCAGTTCAGACCCTGGCACCAGCGGGCTCCAATCACAAGGCAATAGTGTATCGAAGAGGTTATCCTCCTCTTCTTCTTCCGTTTTGATCTGTACCAACTCAACTCCAATGGCCGGGGAATCATCTATCGTCGACCTTACAGGTGCACGATCTGGAGATGGCGACCTCGGCGTCCTGCTCCGCTCGCCTCTTCCTGAGTTTGCGGGGCCATCTGAGAAGACGATGCTGCGTGATCGCAGCTGCTTAACAATAGTGGCATTCATCGTACTGTCAATCGATGTAGAATGGGCGTTGGAAGGCCCCGCAACGCTTTCCTCATTAATATGCTGCCTCTTCCTTGGCCTATTCTCGTCTTCTTCGCCATCTACGTCCTCAACTCGGCGCTTGCCGCCTGCCTGGACAGTACGACCTTGAGTAGTTGCTCTTGCAGTTTTTCTGCGACTCCACCCATGACCACGTTTTTTACGAGACTTCGGCTTGGGAGGAGGTGGGAAGGAAGGATTCGGAAGGTCTAGACCTTATGTCAGTTCAATGCTGCATTTGTGTATGGTGGTCTAACTCACCTTCGCAAGGATCTTGTGAGCTTTTGCTGGTAGATCCCGAGGCCAGTGGCTGGCTATCAAGGATCTCAGCTGAATAAATATTTCAATGAGGAATTTTGACGTGGAATGAGGAAGATGACTTACCATTTCTTGTACTTTCTGTTTCGACATGCGCAGCTTGCACAGTTTGGGTGTTAGAGGACTGGTCCTCTGTAATTATGTTCGGTTGAAAAGCACCGGCGCTTTCCGTGCTGATGCTGAAAGCATTGGTGCGGACGTTGGCGGAGCCTTCAGCCGCATTGTTATAGACGGCAGTGCCCTCTCTGGCCATTGATCGCAGGCGGTTTCCAGAGTGCGCAATACGCGAACGCCTTGAATGCGTTAATGTCGTCTCATTACTGACTGTCGTTTCCATGTTTGCGGTCCGAGTGGCTGCTAGTTGCTTCCACATTGCGCGAGTGAGTACCATTGTGCTCTATTGTGAAAATGACGCGTCCGAAGGGAGGGGGTCGAGGAACTCTTGTGTGGGGAGTGGGGGAATTGGACTGACTTGGTTGACTTTGAGAGCCACGCTCTTTATATGCTTTCACGATAGGGTCTGAGCCTCATCAAGGCACATCAGTACTAATCTAACCATCTTCGTTAACCATTGTCTTCTAGGTCTCATCATCGCCTATTTTTCAAGGGCGGTTATTCCCGAGGCCACGATCGGTGAGTATTGAAGGAAATGCAGTGCAATTTTTTGACGTGCGTGGTCTTATTATATTTTTCTTTTCTTCTTCTTTGGGAAAGCCTCGTGCTTCCACCGATCCTATGGAGAATGGAGGGGGGATTACGGGTTGATGGGATTGGATTGTCTTTAGCTTGCATGACACTTGTTCTTTCGTAGCCGAATTGTCCAGTCTGAGCTATGCTTCTGGTCAGGAGATACTGTCGTAAGATCCCGGTCCTTGAACAATACAATTGTACTTCTCCCTTTTGACCCCTCGAATGATCTAGGGTTATGGCGCCGAGGACTCGTACGGCAACTATTTGTTTTGGCTTTATCCATAGATTTTTCTTTAGAAAGTACTCCCGTTTGACGTTGAGGAGTCTGTCAGCAGTTTCTTGTTAACAGCGCGGGAGACCCTTGGTGTATTCTCTCGATCCAGATACTCCTCACTTATAATAAGAATGGAACAAGGGGCTTGTACACGGACACAGCGCAACGCTTGAGCCTCGCGTTTTGACACTCAATATACTCCTTTTTTTAAATCTTAAAAGGAGGAACACCCAGTCATTCTCTGTTTTTGACTCATACCCCTCTTTTTCTAGCTGAGCACTTTGCGCCAGCAGGCGAGTAGCGATCCACTGGAAGGGGGAACTGGAAGTCTGGACAGGAAAGCAGAAGCAGTACATGTGTTCATTCTATATTTAGAAATTCGCTGTTGGTGGCTCGAAAGCGTGAGAAAAATGGGCCTTACTCGCACCGTTGACTTAGGCCCTGTTCGGTACAAATTTTAAGGAAATGTTAAGCTGTAATAGCTTACATGGTGACCATTGTATAGTTTTTGCAGATGAGCCCTGAGTCCTACAGCTCTTTTTTTGGTTAGCTCCAACTAGCTACCCTATAATTCTACTTGTATTTTACTAAGTCAAATATTAAGTACTTTCCCCAATAAAAATACATACTCTCCTCCCTAAGCTTAATTAATCCTAATCCTAGCTCTAACACTCAAGCTTATCCTAAACCTAATAAGGGGGGGGGGGATAAGGGGGTAGGAGGGTTTTACTCTTCTAAACTCTCTTTCTAACTTCTTACTGTTACAGTTCTCTACTCTTGTACCTTCAGTTCTAAGGGTTCCACACCCTTCTGTACCAGAACTCAGGACTTCTGTCCCTCAGAGGTGTTGTCTATAGACTATATGTGTACTGACTCTTACTACTACCCTTCCTTACTTCATCATTCTATTCCTTTGACCACTCCTTCATTCTTTGTTCATTCTATAGTCTCTTACCCTTTGTCTATCCCTTTATTCTTTGTACCTTTATCTTTGACCTTCCTTTCTTTCATTCTTTGTGGCTTATCATTCTTAGTAGCTCATACTCCCTGAGTACTCTTGTGTAGTTTAGTATATATAAGTGTACAAGATTAGACTGGTTCTGTAGTCTTAATCTTGTCTACTCTAGGTAGTCCTGTACTCTTAGGCTTACTCTATATACTCTACTCTTGTCTCACTCTCTCTCTCTGCCTGTTCTGCAAGTTCTGACTATGTTCTAGTGCTTGTGTTCTGTATTTCTGTTGTATAGGATAGTTGTAGCCTGGGTCCTCTTACTGAGCCTTTAGGTCCTCTCTACACTGTTACTGACATCAGATTAAGACTACTCATTACTACCCTACAACTCTCCTACATTTCAAGCATTAGTACTTACTATTGTGTTGATCTCTTTTCTTTGTCTCAACCCTTTTACATTTTTAAATTTTAAACTTTTTAAACCCTTTTAAACTTTTACCACCCTTCTTCTATTCATTACCCCTTTTAGTTTAGTACTGATTCCTTTATAGTGTAAACATGAACCCTTCTATGCCAACTGCCACCCCTACTGTCCTGCCAGATCAGTAGTTACAAGTAGAACTAGCTTAATATGTATAGACCTCTATCTAAGAGGCCTTTGTTAACCACATGCCCCTAGCCCCTTCAGAACCTGTTCCAATTGTTTCAGAAGTTGCAACCTGTTCTAGAAAGAAAGTACATGTAGCCTACTCTTCAGACTTTAATAGGTAGCACTTTAAGAACTTTTAGTACTAAGTCAAACTATATGTGGCTACTACTTCAACTGATCTATCCTCAGATCTTAATTGTATCCTATTCATCCTCTCCTTCATGAAGGAAGGTAACACAGCCACCTAGGCTCAGAACTGGATCAAAGAACATTAGATTAGAAGCCTGATCCAACTTTGGAACAATGAGTCATATTCAGAATTTATAGGGTAGCTCTGTACTTTCTTTATTAATCTGAATAAGAAGTACAATGTGTAGAACAAGCTTGTGTCTCTGTGACAGGGCAAACATTCTGCTAACACCTTCTTTCAGGAGTTCAATATCCTGGCCTGGAAGACAGGATTTGTGTTCAGGTTCAATAATGTTCTTATTAGAATACTTAAAAAAGCTCTTTACCTAGAACTAGTTAATAAGATTCTCAGAATAATGCTAGAACTGGTCACTTACACTGAGTAGAAGACACACACCATTTCCTTCAACCAAGCTACAGTTTGGATGTGTCAAGCCTGTACAGAACACCTACACATACATTTGACTCTGACAGTTCTAAGCTCTCAGATCAATCTGCCTATAATTTGTAATCAATCTGTTCTAATAGATATTAGAGAAGCCTGAAAGTAAGGAGCATACTTTGCTTGTAGGGTCCGGTGCCGGTAACGCGTCTGTGGAACTCGAAATCGACCATCGTCAGCTGAGCGTCTGCTCCCTGCTAGATAATGCCCCCCCCCACCCCAACCCCCACGCTATCCGCCGTTTATCCGAGTCTTCCGAAGTTTATATCAGCAACTCGACAGTGTCCTCCGATGTAATGGCGAGTTGAACGACTGCCGGACGTCTGCACAACAATGTCGCTGATGGCCCTTCATCACTTTCGGCACGTTTGTCTCTACTTTCCGCTGTCGCGACTGCACCCCTAAGTCCTTCCTCGACTTTCCGCCAGCAGTTCTTGTCCTCAACCTGCTCTGTACTCGTACTTGTTCCTGTGTTTGTATCTTTTGTTTCCTCTTTTATTTTCTCTCTGTTTCGCACTTCCTGTACGGCTAAAAGCCCCGTTCTCCTTGTAATAATATAAAAGCGATGCCCAATTCGGCGTCGGCCTTTGGCTTGCTGATCTTTCGAGATCAGTCAAGCCTCCTCATAATCCGGTTGGTTGAAGTGCCCTTCAGAAACGAAGATCAAGAAGATTATGCACGAGACAACAGCAGAGAGTCTCAGCCATCGCAGAAATTCTCCAAGTGAGAAGATCCGTACACTTCCGCGGAAGGTCAGGAGATTGGTCAAAAACACCTGGTGTGCACATCTTCTATTCACATTTAATCAACACACTACCGGGATGGGGAATGAAACGTCACTCACAGATGGACTCGCTCTGTTTCAATGCCGCAAGGGAACTCTTCACTACCGAGGCAGGCTACAGGCACGATGAATGCGAAACTTATTGGAAACTCATAAAATGAATTCAGTACGATAATATGCTAAACCTGTTGCTGACGTCGGTCACCGACACGGCGATGTCGCGAAATCACTGAAGCCTACAACATGGTGACTCATGGAACCGAGTTTTCAGATCCGACGGGATGGAAGGTCCTGCACAACAGCTCAGCAAGTTACCAGGTTTGCAGAATTCCGATCCATGCCGAACTTTCGTCAAGTACGCAATCGGCTAGCGCTGGTGTTGTACCAGTCAGAGGCAAGAACGAGGTGGGGTCTCCCTTGAATAGTGGCACAGAGGATTACTGGGAAAGCTCTAGCACGCTCATCCTAAATCCTTATTAATGTGATGAACTAGGATGCGAAAAGAAAGTGGACTTACGAATGAATGGATTTGAACGTTCATTGTTTCAGTGGGCTTCACTGAGAGGCCAAAGGATGCAAAAGATGGATGTTGACGAGAAACGTCGCAAAAACACCACCCCAGAGCGTTTTTAACAGTACACTGGTAGCGATATCGATCTATGAACTTCCGCGCGAGGCTTTTGATTCTTTTTTCGCAGCGGATGCAGCCGAAATCGATTGAAGACTGGTTAGTCAACGTAAGCAAGTTACTTCGGAACAGTGAGAAGTGAGAGAAAAAACGTACCGTTCGCGTTTATTACTCTTGAGCTTGTTTTTTCATTTGTCAGTCTTGACTCGTGGTTCATCAGGGGCCAACGTTAATCCTCAAAAAACGTTAATAGTGTTCTTTTTTGTGTAGCGGAATGAAAGGGACGGGTTAAAGTTAAAGTTTGATGTGGTAACAGCAGCTGAGTCAAAATGCGTTAAATATTTCCCACCTATACATTTCGGATTCAGAACGACGACTTCTCTCTCCATTCACTCAGATTTTACCCCGGCTTATCTTTATTAACTTTTTATTAACAGGAAATAGTGTCCAAAATGCATGTTTCACCTATGAATAATAGCACTGAAACAAATTCGAACACAGTGTGTAGTTACTAGTGACTCTGGTGGTACGATCATAGAATACGATGCAGCAGCAGGCAACGGTTTCTGTGTTGGTTGCGGGACGATCGTTGAGGAGAATGCGATTGTGTCTGAAGTTGTGTTTGGAGAGTCGTCGAGTGATGCGGCGATCGTGCAGGGGTCGTTTGTAGGGCAGGGTGCAAATGAGTAACAGTTGGAGTTCGTGAAGTTGAAACTAAACTAAGTTATGTTTATGTGTTGTCTCTGTTGTTGTTGTTGTTGTTGTTGTTGTGTGATTAGCACATGCGAGGATGAGAGGTCCATATCATTATGTGAAGAGAAACACTTCTGAGTCTCGAGAGCAGACGATTGATAATAATGGTAATAGTATGTTTTTATTTTAGATTCGATTTGACAACATGGACAAACAAATTTGTTTCTTTCTGGCAAGTAGGAAGGGGGTCCGGAACGTTGGAACTCTAATGCGTCTCTCGGAGGTCGTCTAGACAACCGCAATTCGCATGTATACCCTGGCTCTTGAACATAAATTCACGAAAGGAAGGACGAATATGGACGTTATTGCTGTCTGTCTTTATATCGCGTGCCGACAGAAGGAGACTCGAAATTATATGCTTATTGATTTCTCTGACTTGTTGCAAGTACGTCTCGTCCTCCTCATACATCTCATACCATATTCAACTTAATGATTATAGGTGAATGTATTCGAGCTCGGACATACATTCCTACAACTCGTCCAAACACTCAACCTCCGTCTCCCTCTAGTCGACCCATCACACTACATCTCCCGCTTCGCCGCACTCCTCGAATCCGGTGACGAAACACTCAAAGTAGCAGCCGACGCAGCCCGCCTCGTCGCGCGTTTCGACCGTGACTGGATGTCCCGTGGTCGTCGACCAGTAGGAATCTGCGGTAGCTCTCTTTAAAGTAGTCTCCTATCACTGAATGCATACAGCTTTAGAGCTTTGTCGGTTGCCTTAAAGTATAGATTACATTTCCAGGAACGAGATGTATTTCAGACGAATCAAACATAGGCAAGAACAGACTGTATAACGGATACATAATCGAGAGTAGAGGATAGCATAGCATATGTATAACGAGAGCAACAAGACAGAGGAAGACAGAAAATATGAAAGGGAGAAAAGAAGCGAGTAAAGAAGGGAAAGAAACGAGACGAGAAGCAGACAGACCACGCGAACAAAGAAACCAGCCGAAAACCAAAAAGCCAATATCAACCGACTCCAAGACAGACTTCCTAAAAAATCCTATGTCACGGAAGTAGCAATACTGCTTTAGTTTCTGGGGGTTCGCAAGATCCGCATAAGTGGCCCATAAAGAGACGAGGCTATGTGTCCTGTGTACGTCAAGATACGGATATGGATAGAGATTGGGATAGGGATAGGGGTGATTTAAGAAGTTCGCGAAGGACAAACACCGGGAAGTCGCAACAACCAACAACACAAATGATTGATGCATACTGAATATCTATCTGTGTGCTATCCGGGTAAACTAACCGCAAATAGCACACGCTTCTCTATCCCAAACCGATCACGGTATACTTATTGTATCCTCCTGTCTTGACCGGACGAATATGGGACGAATACGAATAAGAGAGGTTAGGTTAGGATAGGGGTAATACGGAGTGAGGATTGAGGATATGAGGACTCACAGAAGTACCGTCTGCCAGGTCCCACCCGACCTCGCGAACACACAAACGAGGGATTTAATACTATCAGGCACTGAAGAAGGACGCACAATATAAATTTAAATTAGATCTTAAACGCTGAAATGATGGAAAAACGTCAAGCACCCCACCTGTTTGATGTTATGCTGTACGGCGTCAACTAAGGCTCCAACTTCTCGCCTCGAGCGAGTACACGAATAGGTTTGCTCATCTGCATCATACTCGCATTCATCGCCATCGTCGCAGCAGGTCGTTCAACTAACGCTCCACCACCACGCCCGGGACCATAAACATTCGGTTTCTCAACAATTGGACCTGGGCCCTTCATCCTGACACTTCCAGGTTTGGGACGCGAGGAAGCGTTGTTATTGTTCCGCGGCGGGCTGCTCATCCGCCAGTCTTCGTCTGATGGCACACGTGCGTGCCTAGCGTTGGAGGGAGGCTGTGGAAGAGGCGTTGCTTTGCATTCTAGAACATGCATACCAGCCTGCTTTGCCCAGTGAGCCACCAAGGCGCCCGAACACCGCTGTTCATATTTGGAAGCCTGCGGAGGGGGTAATGGGACTGGCGAGTTCACCGCTGCAGGAGAGGTATCCGGAACCGGGATTGTTGCGGTTTCGAGACAGACGGCAACTGTCATGGGTGGATGGACGACAATATTATCGTTATCTCCCCCGCCCTCCGCGGCTGGTTGTTCGGCGTGATCGAACTCCCATCGTGCGCATGAGATTGTTCTGCGAAGCCATTCGGGTGGACCAGGCGACGTCGCTTCGTCGTTTGCTTGTTCGTCTTGAGCGAAGGGAATATTATCCCACAGAACGTAGGCCTCATCACGCTGAACTTTGATGCGCGGGTTTGTGCCGACTTGTTGTTCGAGAATACGAGATGCAGCGCGGGCGCGATGTGCGAGGGGGCTTGTTCCTTTCTTAAGGAGGTCTAATGTATTTAGAGCTGGAGAATTAAATGAGTATAATTAGTATATGATGTCCAATGGGAAATTTCACTTGTATGCGAACATACCCTCGAGCGGGACGATGATAACCTCTTCCCTACCATTCCGACACCAAGCTTTAAGCTGGCCAAGTGCATGAACAAGGACACTAGCATCCACAACAACGACGTTCGCATCCTTCTTCCCCGCCGGCCTGTCCTCACGTTCACAGCTGTGCTCCCCATCAGTATTACGAGTCCCCTTGTTGTACTCATCATTCCGCGGCTGTCTCGCATTGCGCTGAGGTATCCTTGGTCCGCCTCCACGAGACCCACGTCGTTCTCTCGGCCATAGCTGTTGGTCAGCAGCTTGCGTCTTCTTGGATAGTTCTTCAACTTGATGGTTCAGGAAAGCTGCACCAAGCGTGCGTGCCATGGCGTTCTTGTCCTGCTGAGTAGTGGCATTCAAAAATTTCAACCAAACCTATCATAAATAAACTAGAATGAGTTCAAACACACCTTGAGATCGGCCATTGTGTTGAATATCGTGGTTCAAAGTAGTGGTTTGTAGCAAAGATGAATGAACTGAGCTGTGTGTGGACTGGTGGCCGGTCTTGGTATAGATGCTGTGCGAAATCATTGCTCTTCTCAGTCACTCGTTCTCACCGCGCCACACTCATCAACAAAGGGAGTCAATTTTTCAATCAATTAATTAATATAAAATCCAATAATTTTCCGCCCTTTTCATAATAATGCCTATCCGACGATGTACAAAGAAACTCCTTCATAGACAAGCGCATTAATTGTAAGAGAAAAGAAAGGAAGAAAGAAGGAAATTGAGCGTTCAGATATAATGGAAACAGAAAGTCATAAAGTGCGGAATCATAATTCAGGGATCATCGGGTATCGCACGGTACAGAGAAGCTAAACCGAGAAGAACGGCTGATCACTCGCCGTTTGCTGCTGCTGTTGCTGTTGTGCTGCAAATGGATTGTGTCCCGTCTTCTGCACCAAAAGACGCCCTGCCTGGCTGTGCCCATACCTGCAAAATAATTTCAGTCTCAGACTAGAAATGCTTAAATTATCACGGCGCTTACCGAAGTTGGCCGACATTCCCGAAAGTATCCTGACCGTCCTCCCGATTCGCAAGGAGATTCGCAAGATGTGCGTGTTCGCCATCATTACGAGCTGGTCGCGAAGCAGGTGATGGAGCAGGGGAAATGGAGCTCGTCGACTGTGCAGGTGGTGAAGTTGATGGTCTTGGAGAATTCGCAAACGTTGATGGTAAGGAGAACGAGTCGATGCCAGATGCATTGTTGGACATCTGTGGGAGAGGTGGAGGAGATTGTGTAGCCGGAGCAAACGGGTTGTTCGACCCGAAGCCCGTCTGCTGCGGAAAGAGGGGCTGTTGTGGAGCTAATTGTTGTTGCTGGTACTGTTGTTGCTGCGCCTGCTGTTGTTGTTGGAGCAAAAGCATCTGTTGTTGGCGGTTCCATTCCTCTTGTTGAGCCTGTTGTTGAGCTTGTAACAACTGAGCTTGCTGGGCTTCCTGTTGCTGACGCATCCATTCTTGTTGCTGTAGCATATATTGTGTCTTCGTGACGAGTATTAGTCACGTGAAATGCAGAAGAAAGCACGAGAACGGACCTGCATCGCCTCTTGCTGCGCTTGCTGTTGATATGGATTGAAAGAGGTGAATTGCGGCATCATCGAGGTATACTGCGGCTGAAGCTGGTTCTGAGAGAATTGCGCCGACGGATCGACAAGCGGGAATGGGTTGTTTGATGATTGGGCACTACAAAGCTTGTCAATAACACACAGTCAGAGCGACAAAGCGCGGACGTACGATTGAGCCTGCTCGTCGAATAACGACCTTGAGTTCGAATCCACAACAGATTGATTACGCTTCTTTTCCTCCTCTTCACTAAGTTTAATTGCTCTCGCCAAATCGTCCTCTTCCGCCTTCTTTGCTTGCTCGTCAGCCAGGGATTGTTTACTTGCTTCGATCGCCTTTCGCAATTCGTCGTCTTCAGGATTTCGTCGTTTGGGTTGCTGCTTCCGCCTCGTCTCGTTCTCGTCGTCGAAGTCACTCAACCCGTTCGTCCCACCCGCCATTCGATCTCGCATGCTCGCGCGGTTTCTTCGTTCCTCGCGCAACCTCGACTCGTCTTGCAGGAGGTTCGTAATATCCTTCGCCTTCTGTCGTACATTCGCACCTTGATCTTTCGAATATTCGTCTACGTATTGGAACTCCTTGAGTGTCTTGATGATGTACAGATTATCCCGGAAATATATTATGACGTTCTCAGACCCATTATGGAGTAGGTAATCGAGGACAGTGAGAGCCTAAGAGTATTAAGAGTGTAAGAAATTGCACGCCTGGCTGGCCGGTGGTAGTCACGCACCTTGAAGACATGGCGCCAATTCTTCCCCTTGTCGTTCAATCTTTTATCCAGCATTTCCATAATCTCAACAAAGTCATTTCTGTCAGTCACACCAAGTGTTAGAGAGAATCAGCATCTCGGCAACTTCAGCAACACGCACTGGTTGTATGTCATTTGTGCGATCTCATTCATCTGCTGGCCTGTCGGTCCCCACGGATCGTTCGACGTCGCATCGCGGACCTTTGCCTGTGTGTCTGAGTATCCTTTCGTATAGTTCTTAGCCACTCGCAAGGTGGCCTTTCCAAAGTGCTGCAGCGACATGGTGAGGTGCTCCGGCCAAGTTGTGTGTGAGGACTGGCACTGCTCTCGTCACTTGGGATACGTCCAGCCTGAGGCTACGCGTCTACCCAAATGAGGAAGGATTTTCGCATACGCCACTTATTAAATAAATTAGAATTTGATGTTCTCTCTCTCTCCTTGTATTCTGCGAACAACCACGACCTTGCCTCAACAGGTCGTCCTTGTTGTTGTGCGCCGTTCGCTCATTCCGTATCTCATGGCTGTTGAGAATGGTGCATCTTCGAATCCACCTAGTAATACAGAAGTTGACTTGGTCGGTGGACCTTTTGCCGTCGTTGAGTCTGATCCAGGTCAGTTCGACGCAGCTGCGATCTCGCCGCAGTGATTAATCCAGCAACTCCGCCGCTTAACAAACTTCCAGGGGTATTCACCACATTAATACGCAAGTTAGGAATAAAAGGCATAGAAGTCGAAGAGGTTTATGATATTCAACCCTGGGGCCTTGATCATCTCAAGCCAAAGGGCCTTATATTATGCTTCAATTGGAAACATGACAAATATCACCCTCACGACTTCCTTGATCCTGCTGCGAAGGACATTTGGTTTGCTAACCAACTCGTGGATGATGCGTGTGCATCTTTGGCTATCTTGAATGTGTTGTTCAACTGCCTGGATGTTGAACTCGGTGATGAACTCAATGGCTTTAGGCGGGAAACATCTGATATGAGTCCAAAGGTTTATATTTCGTAAGCCTTGATGATAAACTCCAAGTTATACTAACTATGGAAGCTTAGATGAAAGGTTTGGCCATCTCAAATTCACGTTTACTCCGAGAAACACAAAACTCCCTAGCAAGGTGTGTTCCATGCAAATTCTCAAAATATTCCGACAGTCATCGATAACAATATCAGACCATCAGATATGTGGGGTTCCATAAGCGCCATCGCGGAAGCAACCCACAAGCTTCACGCTGACCTCAACAAACGACCGAAGAAAAAAGCCAAAGGCAGGCATGGGTGGAGTACCGTCAACCAACGACCAGTCAACTCCAAGAAACGAAAGCTCGAAGAAACAGACACGGAGACTTTCCATTTTATCGGCTACGTCCCAGCCCATGGCAAAGTCTGGGAACTCGACGGCTTGAAATCTGGTCCTCTTGAAGTCGGGGAGTTACCAAAACCAGATAGCACCGAGGGTTGGGAGAACGTCGTGAGACCTGCTCTTCGGTTGAAGATGCAGAAGTATGGTGCTTTTGGAGGTGTTAAAGCGGCTGCTGAAAACATCCAGTTCAACCTTCTTGCCCTTGTCCAGGACCGATACGAGATCAAAAGTGATGAGTTGGAGCTGCTTAAGCGAGAGAAAATCGCGCTTGAGAGTCGGATGAAAGAAACCTATGGCGAGACGTGGTCTCAAAAGGTAAGTCCTAGGTCCTTTCTCCAGTCCTCACCACCAAATTTTCATTTGGTTTCAGGTCGACGAGGACTTGCTATCCGGTTCTCAGGACGTCTTCACCACCCTGGCTCAAGCATCCGAACCTGAGAAGACGTTCGCTAAAGACTTCGGCTCACGGGCGATGGAACAGAAATTACTTATTTTGAACATGCCTACAGAAGAACTTGTCGAAGCTTGGCAATCATGTATAACCCGTGCAATGCCTATCAAAATTGCGATCGACGAGGAGGTACAAAAAGCTATTAGCGCTCAGGTACGCCCCCTACCTCTTCCTTTCTCTGCTTTATTTTGTTTCCGCGTTTTCTATTTTGGTTTATTTTCTTTTGTTGAGCGTCATAGGGCTAAGTATCTTTCACCGTTACCTCTTCACATTCGTACAGACGGAAACAGTGAAACGGACACACGACTATACACCTTTCATACGGGAATTCCTCACCTCGCTGCATAATGAGGGGCTTCACCGAATATATTCGTGAGAAAGACGAATAGAAAGGCGAATTCCATAAATGGGTAGAATCTGTAAGAAGCTCACACCCCTATCCTGCCTCCTTCCATGTGTGTTCGACGAGCCACGACGGCTAGGGAGATCCATCCTTGTCACATAGCAAACTCTCATTCACAGCATACTCCTCTCTAACTCTCGCATCATCATTGATGGGTCACAAAGAAAGAAGGGGGAGGGAGCAACACAGTGTGAAAGGGTTGGCATCCCTGTGTGTCATCGATCGACTCCTCGAGGTCCTCCTTTAACAAACACTAAAGGAAAACCTAGAGAGGTCAATCATGCGCTTTGGTTGATTACTACCTTTGGATTCTGTTGTTGCTAATTTATTTTTATGGGATTTTTATTGGTCAGGGAAAGTGGGTATGATTTAATAAATATATGCACATGTATTGTATAAGTTGTAAGTACTCCTTATATGATGACACTTTTTCAAATAAATAAAGCTCACTTACTACTAAGGAAAATCTTTTACAAATAAAAAATGCAAATCAATACTCTCTTAAATTGCCAACCTCAATTGTCAAACACACATGTAAGTTACTTTAGGCAGTGTTTTAGGAGGAAGTATACCAACGTGACAATAAGACTGGGAGATTTAAGATAAAAATTCATACAATACAGTATAGTAAATGTAGCACGACAACCAATTCAACTCAGCATAGCCTCACCGTATTGTTCAACAGTTAGTTACCGTGCCTCAGTAAGCCTCCCACCAGCAGCCCTTGTAATATCCTTCATCATAGCCGCAAGAATCTTCTCCCTCTCCTCATCAGCCATCCGTCTCTCCTCTCCTTCCTCTCCTTCCTCATCGTCATCTTCTTCGCCCTCATTTCTCCTTCTCCTAGTCGAGGTGCGTGGAGCCTGACCAGTCTCAACATCCCTAATAATCCGCTCGGCCATGAATTCAGCAACGAACTCTGCAACGGCACGTTCGCCTACTTCGGCGTGTGCGCGAGCGCCCCAACGCCATTCGTATGTCGCGCCTTCTTCGTCATGGTCTGCGTGTGCGGCTGTTCTTCCGCGTTTCCCTATAATATCAAGAATTAAATTAAATTAAAATTTAAGGGAAATAAGGAATCGCGAGTTCAAATTAAGTTAGCAATTCTATTTCTCCGCAGGATGAAAGTGAGTAATAACCTTGTGTAGGCTTCGGAGCACCTCCAGGTCCCATTTTCACTCTATCAAGATGGCCTTGTTTGATGAGTAAGGAGAGATAGGACTCGATCGACATGCTGCGATGTGTTGCGTGTGGGACGAACTCGATCGTCGCGCTCATAGGGAGACGGAATGTTTTGAGGTGTTTCTTGAGTTCCGCTATTTTTATCACATTATCACCGAACTATTCAATATAACATTATTACTAGAGACGGAAGAGGGCAACTTACGATCACTCATAGAATGTCCATTAACGAGGATCAGTGCAAGTATGACGTATAATAGACCCAGACCACCGAGTTGGTCTGCGCTCGTCCAGTTGATTATACTCCCGTAGGTTGTTGGGAGATCGTCTTCGTCATCCGCTTCGGTATTGTCGTTGTCAAATTCGAGAGTCAAAAGTTCTTCGTTTGATTCTGCTGCTATCCGGATAAGTTCTTCTGGGAGACAGGAACGGAGGATGTAGGATTTCGAGCCGGATGAAGCAGCTACACAGTGAGGAATCCAAATATAAGCATTAAAAAAGGAAGGAATATAAATCAATTGAATATACCTTTCTTCTTCAAGCCCGTCGCGTTCGCTCCATCTTGGACTTCGTCGTTCTCATTTTGCTCGCGATCGCGTTCTGCACGACTCATGAGTTCTACAAGTTCCATGCCGAAAGTTGATTGCAGGGTCTCCTGTGCCATAGCGAACACAATGTTGAATGCTCTGGTATTTTCTCCCAATACTATATAACAAATGTAAATAATGGATATAATGGGATTATATGCAGCTAAATGCACTTCGTTTGTTTATTTCGTCGCGTCGAAGGGGTACATGTCGGCTTTCATTAAACAGGGCGAGCCGGACTAGCGCATTTGCTTTACGCGTCATGTCCTAAAATATAAGTCAGACAACGTTTCAAAAAGGATAAAAATCACGAACATCGACTGCGCTGCCGCCTTCTTCGTCCTCATCGGCATCCTCGTCTAACACCATCTCCTCGTCCTCGTCTTCCTCTTCATCGCGTCGTCTTCGGTATTGTGACTGGCTTGGCTGAGACCTTGAGTTCTGCTGTGTCGCCCGAGGTTGAGAACGGCCATTTGCTCTGATAGTTGACCGTGCCATTGCTTCAAGATGCAGGAGTACAATGAGCGTCTGCGGGCAAAGCGCGTCGCGCGTCGAATTACGTATTACATAAGACGCGTTACGAAAGCGTGAGACTATTATACCAGATAAAGCAGTGAGATCGCCACAGTCAATACCTAGCCATACGCGTCACTTTCAAAGTTTCATTACAACCGCCAACATCGTCCAGCCATGTCTGATCAAAATAATAACAATAATTCAGGACCTGCGAAGGGCAATAAGCCGTACAGCTCACAGCCCAGGATTGGTAGGATTGGTCAGTGGGGAGCCTCAAGCGGCGCATCGTCGGGAAACAGTAGTCGTTCTGGCAGTGGTCCGCGCTTTGCGACGCTCGGTGATCTTGGCTCATCGGGTGGAAGGCCAGAACATCCTGCCCATCCAGAAGATAGCGACAATGAAGGTGAAGGTGATGGAAGGGAAGGTCAGACTTGGTTCACTGGCGGCGAGAGAAGGTTTGCCTGTCTCATTTGTCTTCATTTATGAACACCCTCGCTTACTTGAGTTTCTGCCAGTGGACTTTCTGTACAAAATCCGAATCGTAGCGGTGATGGCCCCGATGCATCAGGTGCAGACCTAGTCAGAAGCCTCCTTAAGAAGGCTGCTGAGTTAGTCCTCACTCTCTTATCCACTTGATCTTTTCCCCTCACATGCTTCATGTTAGTGCTGGGCTCCCATCTAGTGCATCCGCAGGACCTGCACCTCGCTCTGCGTTTAGTGGTTCTGGTCACACCCTCGGAAGTGACGATGTTGAAAGCCAATTTGTCCCCGATCCAAATGCTGCTTCTGAGCAACCTCCAACAGAAGAGAGGACAACGCGCCACATAACGTTTTGGCGCAATGGCTTCAGTATTGAGGACGGACCGCTCTTAGACTATAATGATCCTGCTAATGCGGAGATTCTACGCGCAATCGACCAAGGGTAAACTTCTCTTTCGTATCAAATGACATTGGCATGTGCTAAATAATATCTCTTGGTGCATATAGACAGGCCCCAGCCGATCTCTTGAATGTCCGTTACGGACAGCCCGTCGAACTCCGCGTAGCTCGTCGCATGCATGAAGATTACATACAGCCTCAACCGCGCCCTCACCAGGCATTCGAAGGCGCTGGGAATCGACTCGGTGCACCCACACCTACATTCCCTACCCAGGGATTGAGCTCTGGGACTGTTTCGGTCTCTGCTACGGCTACGGCTTCCGTGCCTGTGCCCGCAGTGCCTCGCGAAGACAGAGAAAGCCTGCAAACAAAATATGAAGTAGATGATACACAGGAGACCACGACCGTTGCGATTCAGCTTGCAGACGGCACAAGGTTCGACTGTTTCATTCATAATGTTTTTGCTGTTACTAAAATTACGCATCAGGATGCGGATGAGAATGAACCTCACAAGTACCGTAAGAGACATCCGGAACATCATCAATGCGTGCGTCCATGTCCAAATGCTTTTATTTATGTTTTGATCGATTATTTGTGTTACACAGTGCACGTCCTGAGAACTTGACGCGTTCTTATACGATTCAGACCATGCGGCCGACCCGTATCCTGGGTGAGGACACGCAGACGATCCAAGCCGCAGGGTTGCAGAGGAGTTTAGTTGTCCAGCGATGGGATGATTGAGGTCAGGGCAAAAGCTTGTTCTTCACCATGCTCTAACATGAAACGTGTATTGAAATGGCGTGTATGGTGTATGGTGTCATTTTGACAATGTATTATGTAGCTCAACAAAGCCCTCCACACCTGTTCGGCCTGAGAGTAGCCAATAACACGCTTACGGACTGCTTCGGTTTACACAACTCGACGTGGATGCTGCTAGAAGTCATCCGATACATCCTTGACACTTGATATGAAGTGCGAGTCATCCAATGCAGTAAATCAGACTGTCGGGTTGATGCTCTGGTTCAATTCCGGAGAAGTTGCGGTCACGGGTGAAGGGTCTACCGCTGATCAGCAACGCGAAGTTCATGTGTGCCCTTGTTTTCTCGGTCTCATTAGAGTGCAACAAGCATGTGTATCTGCTTCCTTTACAAATCATCTCAACAGCGCTTGATTGTGTCCCGGCTCAGCTAATTGATCTTGCAGAAAGAAACTTCGACCAGAATACTCTCTTTTTGCATTTCTGACGAAGCAGAATCGCAGTTCGTATCACCTTTCATGTTCACAATTCTTATAATAAGTCAATTAGTCTGTAAAGCACCCTTAGCTTCTCTCGTACTGCCTTGCACTCTCTTCTCCAATGGCGAACCAGACTCTTGACTACGGACGTGCCTACTCATTCTTCACCCGCTCTGGTGCTGAAGAGCTTGACCCAAGCGTGGTGCAACTGCTTGTCTCTCAGGTCATCACTGAACAGTACTTCAATGTGGCAATATTGACAATCTTAATCTATCACGCCCGTCCGTACAACAATTTTTTGATCTAGATACTCACTGATAGAAAGCACAATTCAAGTGACAACGTTGGATAAAGAGGTATGTTGATCATACACTTACTTCCCAAGCACTCACTAACATGTGTCTCCGTAGATAAAGTATTTTTGGGTAGGCTCAATACCTACTTGTGTATATTTATGGCTTATCGGTTGCGAAAAAGTTGAGGCCGTGCAGTCCTACTAGTCTAAATTACTTTGCAGTGAGTACTGTTTGCCTGCAGGTTAGCTACTCATTCTAATCTGCGCATTCAGAATCGCTACGTTGGGCTCCTTGGAATAATTTGTACTATAATCAGTATGCAAAATATTCACGCAATTCACTGTGCCACAGGATGCAGTTGACATTGGTACTTACTCTAGTTGGTAGCTTCAAACAAAATATTCTGAGGTGAGGTAAAGAGCAAACGGGATATCAGTAGCATGCACTGACTTTGAATCTAACCATAGAGCTCGGTCCTGTACTGTATTATACAGATACAGCATTTTCGTATACAGTGCCGTACTGTATCTGTATAAAAAATTTGACTCAAAAATACAGCACATATTTTACAGGCTGTAACTGTATATAGTCTGTATAATATGGACTGTATATGCCTGTATATGATATACAGCTACTAAATGAACAAAACTCTTGCTCTAAACATAATACTGAAGCTCTAATAAGTAGTATTCACTGTTCAGACACTTATACTAGCATTTACTAATATATTCAGTACTATTATTGTAAAAGTATGTGCAATCTGATATATATTCCAATATATAGGTACATCACATGACTCGACTTTATGACAAATATCACAGACTAAATTACATAACGAAATGTTAATAAGTCAAATTTTATACATTTCATGTAGATTAAGGCATAATATAGGTAGAATTCAATATTTCTATACTAAAGAGGTAATATCACAATGATGTAGCCCCTTACATTTCATGCTACACCTTGGTAAATGTAGCAACTACACTGTATCTGTATATGGCATATATGTTCTGTATACAGCCATACTGTATCTGTATAGGTTTTCGGGTTCAGAAATACAGTACTGTATTATACAAGCTGTATCTGTATAAGGGTTGTATTATACAGCCTGTATCTGTATACAGTATGGTACCAAGCCCTATCTAAACACATGTTGCTTATAGTTGTGTGTTTCTGCTTCTATCTGTCCATTCTTCTTATTCACTTCAACTTTAGGCTGGGCAACGTTTTGGACAGAGGGATTATACAGTAAGGTGTCTATTATTATACATTATAGTACTAATTGACACCTGAGTGCCAGACTTGATTACAATTGTTCATATAGACTGTAAGTATTACTTCCAACCCTCACATATATTGTATTCACACATAATTTCTCTACAGACATTCTTCAAATCTGTGTATTGGTACTTTACTATCAAAGTAGGTACATTACCTTTATAGCTAGTTTCTCAACCAATTTTTTCCAGATAAGAGACTTTCAATCTGTCTCAAAGTACTTCTTACTATTGTTAGGAATTGTAAAATACAGTAACTAAGTTTGGAAAAGCTTAACTCAAGACTTGGGACTAAGTAGTTTATATACAAAACCCTATTAGTCACAAGTCTAGAGATTGGCCAGATCAACTAGGCTACCTTTGTTGTCCTACTTAGTAAGAACTCTAGCTCAGCATTATTAACCTCTAATCATTACTAATGGGTGATCAATCCATTAGCAGAGAGAG